TCTTTTATTTTTTAATGATTACATTTTAAGATGACTATTTGAAGTCAGATTCCTGCTTTGCGACATCAATTTTTAAAAAGCTGTGGGTCTTAAGTGAAGGAATGTAAATGAATGCAAGTCCCCACTGGTAGATTTGAATATATAACTTGTTATTTAAAGAAAATAACTTGTAGTGCAAATGTCTAGAGAAGTTAATTTTGAAATAACATCCAGGAGTCCATTCCACTTCATACCTTTATTCTGGCATCATTGCCAGATTTTTCTCTTTTCCATTGTGCCTCCTGTTTCCTCAGTTTCTCCAGGTCATTTAACAGGTCAGCACAGCATGTATTTAATCCCTTATTTTCTTCCTCGAGGTTTTTTATAACCAGTCTGTTTTGCTCTTCCTTCTTCTGTGCACACTCCTCAGTGTCCTGTAGAACAGTACCACAAGGGCCGATAAACAAAAAAAGTGAGAACTAATCAGCAAATATAAACTGTGCAGTTTTACCCTCACAGCAGCTTCTTCTATATTTGATGGCCAAGGTCACCTGTGTACTTTTATTGGCCTCTTTCATGCAGGTAGAAGGGTCATATTTTTTAGCTGGATGACAGCTTTGATGAGTACACATTTGCAAAGAGCCCATTAATTGATCAAGCTGCCTTTGATGCTGTCCCTAGCTATTTTTGAGACCCACACAGACATATCCTCCCAGACCTCGGCTTTATCAATTAATAATGCCAGTCCCATCAGAATCTAATTACAAGAAGCCACATCTTCACACTCCTACTTTCTTTGCTCCATTTCCATCATTAACTATTTATCTGAAAGTCATAAAGCTTGGATTCTTGGCTTTAAAGCATCTTCCTCAGAGGTGGTATGTGAGAAAACGGTAAGGTATGAGCAAGGCCTAAGGCAATTTTTTCTCCAAGCTTGTCATTTTCTGTGCCACAAAGGCTGACACTGCTTAAAGAACTACTTCAAAGCTACAGTCTTATGAAACTATGTACAAGTCAATATACCTTAAGTTCTTGGCTTTTATCTTTAAATTTCTGGTTCAAGTTACTGAATTTATTCTTCAAATGGGTATTTTCCTCATCCACACCATTTTTTCTTTGTATTAAGTTGTTTATCTCCTGCTGCTGTACTGTGAGCCTCTATTTAAAAAATAAATAAATAAATTCTGTTAATAGACAAAAAACAATTGTAAAAGAACACGTACATAGAGGATTTTAGACCTGTGCATTTTAAAACTAGAAAATGTAACAATGTAACACATAAATACGTAGCTTTACAGTATTATTTTAATTTCATTAGTACTTTTATACTGAAAACTGCTTGACTCTATGACACAGTAATGTAAACAAGGAACTGAGTATCTTGGAAATTATTCAGTCAATCTTATAAAATGACAGTTACTTGCAGAACTTATATTTGCAGTTACAGATTAAGAATACATTAGAATATTTTTTCACTTGTACTTTTAGCATACCAAAAATGAAGCCAAAGAGTAGAGTTCAAAATTCTCCAGAATATGTGAAGATAATGAGAAATAACTGTTAAACACGGCAACTTAAAATATTATAATACAAATTAGTCATAAAAAGGGAATTAAATTTAGCTGAATTTGCAGCTCAAGGAAAATAATACAACACTGTTCAATACAGACAAGTTTAGTGTACCCACACAAAGTAAAATCTCACTGCTATGAAAAATCAACTTCAATTTTCTGTGTTAAATACTTAGGTTCCACTCTTAGGACATTTGTATTAAAGCACCCTCACTCTTAAATGCATATTAGAACTCTGCATTTTTCTTCGCAATTCTGTTTTAACTCCTGTACTGTTTTGACCCTTCCCTTCCTAAATCAAAATGCCATTCATCTAAAACATTCTCTTACCAGTAAAACTTTAACTGTAGTAAGAAACAGATGAACCTTTTATCTCAGGACAAACATGAAACTGCTTTGACTTTAATATACAAGCTAAATGAAATGTGCTCAGAAATACAAAAAAAATTACCAACAAGAAGATACCCCATTAGATTATTCTGCAATATCGCTGATAACATAGTTTTCAACATCCATGTGGTAGTATTTGGTTCACATGTATGTCAGACATGAAATGAATGAAAATGTGCTGCGAAAGAACTTGTAAAACAATACATTTGAAGTTATATTCAACAACCATTTATTTTAAACCTACATGTAACAGGGCAAAAAAAGATAACTATGTCACCACTGAACTCAAAATAAACTCACTCACAAGAAGAAACACAGGTATTACATGTTGCAGCCCTGCATACAAATCAAGCCATGCAGGGTAGGCAGGGATTGCTCTGCGTGTTGAATAGTGTCAGTTCATTGGCACCCAGAGCACCCACTGTTACAAATATGGTAACATATCTTACAAAATTTAAAAAAACAAACTCGCCACACCACACTACAGAGTAGAAAATATGTCCAAGCAAGAACAAACTCTGCAACCAGCTCAGCACACAAGAAAGGTAATGTAACTCAGCTAACTTACATAGCAAATATTGAAAACAAATGACCATGAGCAGATAATGTTTAGTAAATAGTGCAGGAAGGCATAAAGGATTTTTTTCCCGCGCTAAAAATTTGACTGTATTGAGAAAAAAAATACATTTCGGTTGTACCTCATACTTAATAGCAGCCGCAGTAGAATTCAAAGACTATACAAAATTACGCCCTAACTATGGTCTGTGAAAACATGGAAAAGAAAGTGAATGTGAATTGAAGAGAATAGAAAAATGAGAACAAAAATTGAGAGAAAAGTAAAAGAAAATACAGACAACCCATATTATCGTATCTTGTACTTCTGTTTCAGATGTCAGTAATTCCAGCCAATGAAGCAGATGGAAAAACAAAAAACACAGAAGTAGCTTGTATTTAAAACAGTGTATAATTGGTAATTCAATCTCAAATGTATAGCATACTTGCTTAGTTTTTATAATGAAGCCAACACCTATACAGAGACTCATTCTACAGCACTGGCACTTTTAACACACTCCAGTCAAAAGTTTCCTTCAGATTACAGATTCAGAATCATTCTTCCATTTCCTCCAAAGAAAAACTAAACCTGAATTTCAGATTCAAAAATTTACATGATGTTTCTTTCTGAGGCATAATAGAGTGCATAAACCTTCTCAGCCTACTTTGTCAGCAAACATTCAGGAAGGGATAATGAAGTTAAGAAACCTCCTCTTAACTAAGGACTCCTGTTTTCCATATTTTAAATGTACCAGACAACAGGCTCAATTTTCACTATTCAAAAAGCAAAATATTTGCTCTTCAGATATATTATTACAGTTACAGGAACAAATTGTTTCTAGCAGATATTATATAGTTCCATCTTTTAAAAGGTATGGATCCACATTACCATGGAAAGCATCAGTTATTTTTTTTTGCCTCCCTCCCACTCCCCAGGTCCTCACAGAATTTCACTAGGCAGCTCCTTTGAGTCTTCCTTCCAGCTGATTACTACTTGTTTAACATTTATCAGGACAAAAATTTATAAAGAACACCCTTAGAAATTCTACTTATCTGAAAGAGCCTATTGGCTCTAACAGAGTTAAAAACTCACAAATACACCCTCTCACAAATCTCAAAGTGCAGCTCCAGCTCTTTGAAGCATCTTTATTTTTGAGTATACAAGCTACATTGTGTTACTGCTTAGTTTCACTACACACTGTGCAGAAACTGGTAAGCTTATGTGCATTTGTGAAGTTAAATCAAAGATCTTTGGGTCTTGTTTAGAATCAGATGTTTTCCACCAATTTGGAGACATGAAGGCACAAAAGTGCACATAGCTATTTCAAACGTTTGTTCCATATTACTGAGACAAAATTTTAAACTCAAAAAAGCTACTTACTTCACATACTTTGCAGGATAATCAGAAAGATTACCCTGAATCAGACTCACATATTAATTACTTATGCCCACAACTGACCCACTTAAGAATTTAAATCAATCAAAAAGCAAACGCACCACATCAATCATTTAGCAGCAAACTCACCTGAGCAGTCTACAAAGTTGTCTACTGCAGCAGCAGTAGTGAAACTATTATTTAGGTAAGTTATACCTGGATGGAAAAAAACCCAACCTGTTTCAAAGCATTTTTCTTAGGTCCCACTTTGTATGCTCATATGTTTTCCTCTAAATGAATTGAACTTTTACTCTCATATCTGTTCATTTCACATGCTTATAAAGAAGGTAGAAAACCAGGAGTATTACTCGGGAGCCTTGACTTGGTAGAAATCAGGGTCCTAAAAAAGAATTTCTGAGATACAGACAATTAAGTAAATTATCATCTGCCTTTGCCTGTGCAGCCATTTTTGCACTTTACTTCCTCAACCTATGAATTACCTTGTATAATAGGAGGAAGAGAGTAAAAATTGATTTCTTACAGCAGAGAATACAAGCAGTGTTCCTAAAAGACTACCCTACTCTGGTAGGCAAGTGAAACAGCAGAGGAAAAAAACATACCTGATGAACACATGGAGCAACCTCCCACATGAGATTATTTTGACAGACATCACCAGATAAAAACACTCATCAGGAATTCATCTATTCCCACAGTGTCTACTGTTTTTGTCCAGATACCATGAAAGACAGGCTAATGCTACACAAGAACAACCTCAACTTACATTTTGCACTGACTGCAGCCGTACTTGTTTGAATACAACAGGAAAAAAGCAACGTTCAATGGGCTTTTGACAGCTTGGTGCTCAAGAATTACAATAAAACTCATGTAACTAAGAACTAGAATACACTTCCAAAGGTTTTTCCATAGACAAACTTCCAAATACAAGAAAGCAAACCGCATTCTAGAAGGCAATTCACTCTAATGAAAACCAAAGAAGTCTGATTTTACACCTTGTTTAGCTCAGAAGAATCAAAGAGTATCCCTTGCATAGTGCTGAAGTCTAGAATGCTCCAGGCAAAGGCAACTGTATGTACAAAGAAAGAAACACTGTGACCTGGTGGAGTGGGTCTTTTGATGTGTAAGAGGACTATCATTCCAGAATTCATTTTTATCCTTTCCCATGGCTTCTCTAGGTACAACACAATACATTTTTTTTCTTCCCTAATAATGTCAAATTGTTTACTGGCAAAAACTACTTTTTTAAATACCTTCATATCAATCTGCAGAGGAAGTAAAGTCTCATGTTAAGCCAAACTGAAAAAATTAGCTACAAAAACTACAGATCAAAACGGAAGGACAAAAATAGCCTTTTTTGTCTTAGCTCTGGACAGCAATAGGATGTTAAAATTATCTGTCAATATTTTATGTGAATAGACATATAAGAAGTTTTTAAATTAAACGTCATTTTCATCTAGTGTGGATTTAGATAGTACACTACTACAAGGAGACAGTGAAAGTGGCAATAAAAATGTAATTCTTTAGCATTAGGAGCCTTTCCAAAAAGGACATGAGTTAGGATACAACTACAAGGAGTTAGACTGTTTGATGTTGCAGACATCATCACTGAACTTCCAGTCTTGAGTCAAAGATTTTTGTAATCCACTACATAAAAAGCACACAAAAAGGACTATGAAACAACAGCTGCACGTGCTATTACTGAACTAAGTGTTCTCCAAATTTTTATATTTTTGGGGTGGAGGGGTAAAAAAAAAAACAACCCAGTTATGAGTTCTGCAGTTTGAAATCTGATCAGACTGTATTACCGAATGAGTATTGTGTACCTGCCTATAGGTTCATAAAATGTAGATAAGAGCAGATTTTATTTCATGTCAAGAAGTTAACTCATATATCTACTGATAGTTTAATCAAAATATCCCTAAAAATCATCCTAGCAGAAATGCAAAGCTGACACAAATATCCTTCATTGCTGCTGCTAACAATACAGAAATGCAACACCACACCTTGTTTCTGTCATTGGTTGCTGAAGCACTTCATGAAAATAAAAAAAAGTCTCTGCACCACAATATTAAAGGTGTTCATCTATGACTACAATGAAGGGACATGCATTTGATTCCAGTACCAAAAGGATCAAGGTAGCAAAAAAACATTTTGTGTTTTCTTCATTACATTATCAGGAGCTTTCACAGTGCAGTAGTACACTTCTAATACACCACATTAAAAATATTAACACAAACAAAATAACTAGTACT